TCAAAAGTTGTAAATTTATGACCACCCGAGAGAGATGCGTACAGATCTTCGATGCGCGGGAAAGAATAAGGGTTCAGTTCAGTTGCTGAGTTGATTGACAGTTTGTAGTCGCCACAGATACGCACAGAAACATCGGTTTTAGGAACAGGAACTATTGGGCTGCCCATTCCGAATATTGCACGTGCTCAATAATACATGCTTTCTGTAGGCGATCCAGTTCTTCTTCGACCATCGGTGCGACTGCATAGGTGACTGTAGAGCTTTGAAACACCGGGGCCGTAAATCTGACTGAAACTGGAACTTTACAGGTGGGCCGCAGTAGAGGATATCAGAATCGTCACGAAATATATACTTATGATTTAACAAAATTGAATCTAAAGCCGGATTTACACCAATCCGATGTACATAGGATAGCAAAGAAGGCACACATTTAATCCAATTCCGTCCGAGGGGATTTGGTTGCTGACTTCCTCTCACCACATGAACCGGCAAGTAATGAAGCTCTCCATCATGCGCGACTTCGGCTGTAAAAACCCCTCGAACCTCTACGTTCTGTCCAGTGTGCCTACGGAATTTTGAGCCAACCGGAAGGAGGGAGGGTAATTTCTGAAGAGAGGCCTCATTGATGACAGTAACAGCTGAGCCAGTGTCGATTTCAAACTTCACGGGGAGATGATCAACCGGAAGCGTGACGGTGTAGGGCGATTGGAATGGCGCGTTGGCCAAAAACATTCGGAGTGTCGCCTCGCCATCCCCAGCTGGATTAGGGTAAGTCGCATGCGTGTTAGTATTCGCGCACTTTTTAGAGGAACACACTCGTTTGATGTGGCCAACATTTTACAAAACTGGCATACTGTCTTCTGGTGTCTGCAGTCTGACCACTGGACATGATGCTGATCACAACGGTAGCCGGGTGGTAATTATTTTAAGGGAGATGAGGGTCGCTGTTAAGGTGAAGACACAGCAGTGTTGACTAGGGAGACAGCCATTTTCGATTCCAAGGATGCTATCACATCATGGTTTGACTGATTCAGCTGCTGAAGGTTTTGACGCACGCGCTCCTGATGACAGGCGATATCACTGGTTTTCTCTCATGACAAATCCTTCTTCTCTGATAAGAGACTTTCCCTAACTTTTTCATCGCGCATACCGACGATCAACTGCTGAACGAGCATTGCGTGCTCGAAGTTGTCTGCCTTGATCCCTTTATACTCACAGTCCCGGATGGCCAGAGTCAGATTAGTAATAAAATCACTGACACATTGACTGGATTCTTGGCGCATTTGAAAAAAAGCGAAGGCAACTGAGAAAGGCGTTGTCTTTTCCTCCCCACGCTAACTGGAGTTTTGAGAAGGCTGTTTGGAGATCTATAGCCTTTTTTTAGATTGAGGGCATCAAAATATCGTTGTCCCAACTCTCCGAGATTCGTCCGGGGGAGTTTCAACTTAGATGGGACGTCAAGTACAATTGTGGGTGACAAAACCGGGGGTAGTTCAATATAATCCTCAAATGTCTTCCTCCATTGCAACCACGAGTCACTTGAGGTCTTCTGGGTGTTCTTTGGCCAGAAAGTAACGGTGTAGGCAGCAGTGAAGACATGTTCATTAGGCCGCGTCGCCAATTTTATGTATGCAAAGCAGAAGGGTACTTGGAAATAGGACGCGTTGTGAGTACGACGGACAGCACAAGTGAGGCGGCTTGGGGAAACGGCCGGGCATATTGCAAGGGGGACTGTCATAGGCTGATGGCTAGCCAATCAGCACAAAGAAGGTGTGAACAGGGGTCATGACCTTGATCGTTCTCTTGTCACGCGTTTGTAGCATGATACCCTCACAGCCCGGAGAGGCTACGCTGCAAGAACAACTTGGCTAAAACGGGCGGATTTTTGGTACAGGAAGAAAGGCGTTTGACATCAGCTATTCTGGAGTTAAATCCACAGGAGTACAGAAAATCAACCACAACATGAACTGGCCGTGCAGAACGAGGAACATTTTCCAGCAAGAAGTTGTGACCTCTTTCTTGTCTATCACTGAATTCACCGGTGATAAATTAAACGAGTGATTCGAGGCGTTTGCATTCTTAAGAGGGAGTATCGGATATGTTCCCGTTGAATAATTTTCCCAGAATTGAAAGCATAATTCGAGACTGCAGCATAAAAGCATTGCTATTGTAAAGTGCAGGCAAATCCAGCTTCCTATCAGTTACAACGCATGACGACTGACTAGTAATACCTCCAGACATAGATTTAGGTAAGCCTTCTGAATTAGATTAAATCAGGCCTTCTGACTTAGATTTAATCAAGCCTTACGTGAATACAGAGGCCGAGAACTTTCGCCGACCTGTGACTTTTAATCGCATCTTGCCTCGAGGAAAGTTGCAATTAAGTAAACTTCTAACTGACCAAGCGACTGAATTTCAGCTTGAGGCTAACGGCGTAAAAAAATTACACAGTCCGAGAGAGATGGAATGCTTAAAATGCGAATTGCGGTATGTGACTGGTAGTCAACAGGTACAGACCAGGACAAATCAAAAAAAGATGGCCATCGATAGTTCTAAAAGAATAGGTCTGTATTTAGGGAAATTTAATTAAAAACAAAGGCTAGAATCTTAATATCTTCTAGAAAAACTCTTAAAAATAATGCCTCCCACTTATCTTCAAATTTAAAACCAGCGGCTTGACCTTGAACGCCCAAGATATTCCAATCCCGTCATGAAATTCTTTCCGGTCGCCTGCAAAAGCCACATTCTAAAAATGGTTATCTAAGTAACATAACATTTCCTCGTTGTCTGTTGGACTCTTTTAAGTTCGGATCAACCCGGCTGACAGGGAAGACCCCGTCCGAGACTTACCAATCTAGAGGAGGACAGTGTAGACAGGTGCAACGACCTACGAAGCCGACTGCAAGACCGCCACTAAAACCAAGCGCGAGACACGCAAGTCTTGACTTCGCCCACCCATCAACGTCAGTGCTCAACCGCCCCGGAGTTGTCCACGAAGGTAGCGAACGTTGCGTGGACCAGTCGGTCTTATAGGACATCATCGTAACAACGGCTGCACCCGGATCACATCTGCCGCTGTCTCCTCGTCCGACTGTGCCTCATACCCCACGCCGACAACAAGCACTGACCGCACTCCCGAATCCCCACTGCCATCCTCCTCCTCCTCCTCCTCCTCCTCCTCCTCCTCCTCCTCCTGCTCCTCCTCCTCCATTGCCTCAAATCTGCCACGGTACACGCCTGCACACACTATTACTGCATACGATCCTGACACACCAGCTAATATGAACCTCCTTACCGTCAACGCCAGTGATGTGGACTCGATCCATACCTGTCCTCACCGCAAACGCGCCTTCAACGAATGAACACGTCCACTAGAGGAGGCGGACGTTAGTGGGCTTTTCATTTTGAAATCCGCTAACTGAGCATATAGAATAACTGCTATAATATATGTCCCGATAGCCGACAAGTAAAAGTTAGAGTAGCTCTGCCAAATAATGCCAGAGTAAGGATAAGCGGTAAGACTGGTTGGAGGAATTATAGGTTAGCTCTGGTAGGGCTAATTTTAAACCATGATTCTGTCCACTGACCCCGGGTTGCATTTGATGTCGCACTAAGTCGCATCAATAGATATCTTATTTGTAACTTACATTTTCGGGACACCTTCTAAAGTAAGGCGTAAACGCTTGAGTACTCGAAACAGACAGCTGAGAATGACGAGGTCGTAGTAGGAGGGGAATATTTAGCCTAAGAGAAACCCTTCACTCACCTGACGAACTGTGATGGGCCGGTTGGCCCTTACCTTCAGTGGGCAAAAAATTCTCCATATCCTAGCCACTCTAGAACACGTTATTAATGTCAAGGTAAAATTTAAATATAACCCATGACGGTTTGCATTTTCTCAATCTCACTTCTCATACATTCACTTGATACTTACTTCAGATATGCCTCGGAAACACCTTATTTCGCTTAGAGACACGCTGATCTTTGAAAGTCAGCGCCATTTCCCTTCTTTATTCCAACGATAACCCCCCAAATAGTCCTAAAAACTAAACACAAATAGCAGACCGCTACCATTAGCGACAAACTGGATAAATCTAGTTATCTCCAGGTAAAAATAAAGTTCGTCTTGTTCCTAGTTAATAACTTAATACACTCTTTCCGTCTCCTCTGATCTTCCAATCTATTGTAAAACAACAAATTATCTACGCCCACCGTCCTCGGTAGCATATGACCCAGTCCTAAGGGCGGGCCAAACGGAGGTGGAGGGTTTATGCTTCCGTCTGAGGGGTAGTTCGTTCCTCATTCCTTGAACAGCCCGCTACTAACTCCGCAAGCGTCCACAGTACAGATAGCATTAGTAAGCCCCTTGCGTGGATCAGGCTAGAAGAACAATCGAACAAGCAAATTAGTTATCTTTATTTCTTGTTAGATTTGAGGGATGTTTGGGCAAACAGTTAGAAACCAAGGCGTGGGTATTGTCGTGCGGGCCGTGCCGCGTGTCATTACGGATATTTTCCCGACTTTTCTGACCCGTTTTAAGTCAAGATATTACACTTTTAGGTCAAATGTTTGATTTTTACGATTTTATTTGGTGCATTTTCAGTCCGTCGAAGTTTCTGTTGCATCTACCGGTCTAAACATCGCTTCCACTGAATTCACTTATGAAGTTTACTTTTCCACGATGGTATACAGTGGATTCGTAATAATTTTGTTAACTCTGTCCTTTCTTCAAACGGAATAACATGTCCTGACTTGCTCCGCCTGCTTAACTGCTCATAAATGCATGGTATATCCGTGTTTCGGAGGTGAGCCTGCGGGTAGTATCCTCATATACATTCAGATTCTCAGAGTTTTTACATAAGCGCGTGGATTGGCCGTTTACCACTGAAATCTGTAGGCACAGGCGAAAGCACATACATGCATTTAATTTATTAAATTTCCAGGGATTGCAAGTAGTTTGATATCAAATCACGAATATGGATATAGGAATTCGTTTTACTATGGTGAAATCTGGGCGTTCAGAGGAGATTCACTACTCCGATGAGCGAGGTGTCTTGCCTGTTTGGCTTTATATTCTTCGTATTTTCAGCGATGATACCCATGTAAACACCTTAGAAGTCAAGTCCCCCCAACTTATGCTTTCTATTTTTCCCAATCGGGCCTTTACAGTAATATAAGGGAGGGCAGAATAGCAAAAGGTGAACATCCAATAAAAGTCAGTATGTGGGAGAGGGTTGAGGAGCGTTCAGAGGTCAGTGGTAAGATTGTAGTTCTGTCTGGGCATAAGAAGGAGGAGGGGAAGGTGTCTGGCGATTAGCTGCCTCTGTTTCATCTCTGTAACGCGACGTGGTGGGTGTGAAAACATATGCTGGGTTTTCCTTTGCCCAGCGAACCTTAACGCTTGTACGAATGCTTTATGCGAGCACAAGGCTGGTTGGCTGACCGCACTGCCTCTGCCGTCGCAAGTATTCGCTGACGCATGAACTTGGAGTGTCTCGACGACACTACAGATGATTCGGAATGCTTGGTTGACATCTAGCCGGTAACCGCTCTCGACCAAGTAAGCTGCAATCGCCCTAGATCTAGGGATGGGCTCGAGATGGGCTTTTCCCAACCTTGACTTGACCATTCAGGATGTAGCTCTCGCATCCGCTTAGATAGACGCCTAGTTGTTCGACCAATATAACCTGCCCCACAGGAGCCAGTGAAGGCGTATATCCGCACCGATGAGATCTGAAAGGTAGTCTATCCTTATCTTCAAGGCAAAGAGACGCATTGCTTGTGGAAACCAGTCTTATCTTAGCGACTGGATATGTGCGCGCGGTAGCAGCGTTTAAGCGACGATGTAAGAGTTCGCCCGCCGGATCCCCTCGGAATGGCAGTTGGCGAAATAATTCCTCAGCCGTCGGCACATCAGATTTTGGAGGGCGTTCTTCCACATAGTTGTCGATAAGCTTTTCAGGATAGCCGTTTTCTCAGTGCTTCGTGCAATGGCGAGCTCATCCTGAAGCCTGTCTGAAGCGCATATTCTTCTAGCTCGGTTGGTGAGGCAGGGGACCAAGCTTCGATTCAGGCTTAGCAGAACAGAACTGTAGACATTTGTGTATTACCCCGTCCGTGTTTTCTCGCGAAATACACTTCTACTAGTTGTTCCATCTGACGTTCGATTAAGCAGGACGTTCAGAAATGGGAGGCACTCTCTGTTATCTTTTTCCAAGGTGAAGGGTAACGCTGTTTGAGCCTGATTCACTTTACACAGGAGAATGTCCAAGTAGAGCTTTTCATCCACTATTGCGAAAATTCCGTCAACATATCGGGCATAGGAATAACGATCCGTCATCATTAGACAGAGCTGGGTTTTCTCTAGTTTTCCCATGAAGACAGCTAATAGTGGTCCGGGGGTGATCCCATCGCTACGCCGTTGATCTGGCGGTAAAATCGACCATCAAATCTGAATTGGATATGCAAGTCTCTGTCCAGCATTCTGGCTGGGAAATCCAGCCTTAAAATCTCGTCACATAAAAATCCCATCGTTTCAGTGGGAGGAATGTTAGTGAACAGACGTGACTTCTAGGGACAGCATCGGTTTTTCTTTAAGATTTCCATGTCTTATGGAATCGACGATTCCAAATATGTCCCGTAAACTGCGTAGCGCTATTCTGTCGAATCGGCTTAAACCTTTCTGCCAGCCAGTTAGCAATTGCATGATAGGGGGAATTACTCATGTCTAATATCGGCCGCATCGGAAGGTCTGGTTTGTGGATCGTTGGCAAATCATACTGGCTTGGGGATGTCGTGCCTGTGGGTTTAAGAGCTTCGAACTCTTGTTCACTAAGAAGACTTTGACTTTCAATTTCATAAGACATTTTGTAAGTTGGGCTTTTACGTTCTCTGGTTGGTCCGTATTTTGCCTCTCTCTTTTGAACTTCATGTCATCAGCCAGGATTAATTCTATTTTTGAAACGTAAACACTTACTAATTAGGAGACTAGAACCTTTGTCCGGTTTGGTGACGAGTATGTCCTTGTCTTTACGTAATTCTTCTAGTTCCTCCAGACGCTCTTTTGTGATATGCCTGATCCTTGGTGGTTTTGCCCTAAGGTATTGGTAGCAACTATTCACGAGTGTTGATTCGGGATACTCCGTTTCCTCCGGCGGCGTAGGTACCAGGTCGTGCGTCTGATCTACGGCTTTGCAATTTGAACTTCTGTCACGAGTCTGGTTTTTGGTTAGAAAAACAAAACTTTTGGCCTCAGGGAGAGTACCTCAATCAAATATTTGGCAAGCGCTAAGTTAGTGAAATTAGGTACATACTGCTCCGAAGAATTTGGGGAATTTTGCCTGTGTAATGAATCTCCATCCATTTTGGTTCCATCCGTCTTTTAGAGCAAAACCACTAAGAATCAGGCATATCAGGTGTAGATTATTTGCTGTCTTATAATACATAGGCGAATCGCCGGATACCGAAAGAGTGCATTAAGTTATTTACGAGGTGGAAGACGAACTTCATCATTACCAGAAGATAACTAGATTTACCCAGTTTGTCGCTAATCGCAGCGGGCCGCTCTTTGTGTTCGGTTTTTAGGGCTATTTTGAATGTTGCCGTTGAAATAGGAAGGCTAAAATGGCGTTGACTTTCACAGACTTTTGTTAGATGTTTACCTTTTGCTATTCTACCCACCCTTAGATTTCTGTAAAGGCCCGATAATGAATAATCAAAAGCGTAATTTGGCGGGACTTGGCTTTTTCGTATTTTCTTGTATAGTGGTTGAGGTATCCGGTTAGTTGGTCGTCACGAGCTTACGTTCCGTCTAACGTTTTAGTTTTGCGCCGGCGAATTTATGCGACCTTTCGGCCATTAGACTGCGGGGTAGGCGTAGCTAAAAGGCACATGAAAGGGAATTCTGCCTTGGCCCTCGAAAGTGGCGTAATAATAAAATTTAGCGTGTGAAATGATATAATTAAAATATTTCCAGAAAATAACGCGGAGTTGTGCAAGTGGGATAAAGACATGTGGAAGTTAATGCGGAATAATCTCGCTAGCACTTGCCAGCGGTATGCTGAACAAGTAAACGTCAGTCTCGTTGGACCGCGTTTTTTTAAAAGTGAAAACAGGCGGTACTGTGCCGAGTCCAGGCGATCCTGTTTAAGGTCTCTGAGTCGTGTCGTACATTCTGCATACCTGCTTTTGTGATTGTGGTCTTCCGTTGTTCTACATCATACACGTAATACCTGTCGTGACCATAGCCTCTGGACCTCATAAGGCAGTCCCGATTCGAAACCAGACGGCAGAACATGTGCCCGCACGTCTAACAGCATTCGGTGATCGATGCCACAATTATAACTACCGTTCCCGAAAACAGTAACGGAAGCATCCAACACAAAACAAGCAAGGGCATGGAACTCTTACATATTTGCAGGCTGCTGTTAGTGAAAACGGCCCAGCCCGCATACTTTCATTCCTTTGTATATCCGGTACTTCGGCACTGCTTCTTTTATACTTGCCGACTTCTCCAACAAATTTCTCGCCCCACAACTACGAAGTCCTTGAGTTCTTAGGGAAACAAACTCGATCACATGCCCCCAGTCCATTGTAGTCCTACAGTTTGTTAACTAGGCTAGGAAACGCCATACCTAACTCACGCACCCTTGCGCGTTAACGACTGACTTCAAATGTTCTCCAAAGTATTCCGTTGTCTTTCCAACCCTTATTCTAATTTCTTAATGGTTTGGCTATTTTGACGTAAAACTTGTATATTTTCTTCATGCCTCAAGGTAGCGCCGGTGCCTATTCCTGATGTTTACCGAAAGCGGTTTTTGCTCAGTAAATTTAAATGACAAATTATGCTCTATCATTTCACCCTTGTCTTAAGAAAACATTAACCCAGTCCTGGATTCGTGAAATACGGGCGCGATTTTGTTCTCATTTTTGCTTCTTTGCCCCTCTATTTAGATACTCACCACGACAAACAAAACGGAGAATACGAGTGCTGGGTATGACCTTACCGGTTTTTGTAATTCCAAGTTTTTGGTGTATGATAAATAATCATTTCTTGCAACTCGTTTCTCTTAAACCTTTCCCACTTCGCGTAATGACTCATGCTTTCGTAAAATTCTCAAAACTACGCAAGTCATACGTACCGGTCGAGGATCCGACTTCGAAGTCCATTGTTCCTAGCTTTAAGCCAGCCGATCATACGAAGTGTTTTCATCTGCGACTGATTCCTTAGCCCGTCTTTGTTTTTATGACAATGGTTGTCGATTCCGGTAGTTCTTATGAGACGTGTACTTAAAAACGGTTTGCGTTTACACATCTTTGGCCCTAACAGGTTCACTTTATTGCCTATTTGGCGGTGTCTCAAGCACACACATAGCGGCACATCGTCGTTTTGCCATCAAATCCGCCGTGAATTAAGATAGACAGGAGCTACGCGGCCACTTGAACCTAATCGTTACTTAATTCACCGGTATTAACCGTCATGAACTGGCGCTCCATAAATAGTTGTTCACATCATCTTGAAAGTCAGTCCTAGGAAGTATCTGGCATCCTGCCGAAGTAGGTGAGGGCAGGAGGACTTGCGTTGAAGAAGCAAGGAGTAGTGACTGCCAGGCACACTTCAACTTCTGCTTAAGCTTTTTGTCTTTCAGGCTGCACGCCGCCTCCCTGCTCTGTCCTGATTTTACTGCTACTTGCCAACTCTGGCTTTGCCGACCTTTGAGGCATTAAATATATTGTATTTCTGTCAGCCATCTGGCACCTCTATAGTTTGCTTTCCATACCGTTTCCTAGTGACTGCGAAAGACAGAAAGCCGAGATGGACCCTCCCACCCTCCTTCTGCGCGTCAAACGTCCATTCAGTGAGCCTCCTGTGGAATGTTTCAACACCGTTCCTTGCAAGAAACGCTGCCAGTGGTATCCAGAAGTACAGAAGGGAAAGTGCTTTCGTTACGTCGGCTCAACAACCCAGGAAAGCACCTTGAATGAAGGCGGCCTCGACGCTCTGCAGGACATGGGGGCAGTTGGTGCACGCCGCATATTTTGGACGTCTACCTCCACTGCCTGTGTTATCAACCCCGAAGACGAGAAGAAAATCGACTATAAGGTAGATCTACTTTTACTACCTTGGATATTTATATCTTTTCCTATATTTTTTGCGCATTTAGGGCAGCATTTGCACTATTCGAGTACTAACGCATGTGATGCGGAATAAGTTCGTATTCCCTGGTATTTGTATGTCACCGGACCCTTTATGCACAATGTACTACTACTTGATGGCGACCTAATAGGATGTCAAGGGACAGTCCGAGGAACTTTGCGCGTACAAACTTGCAAGTATGCATTTATGGTAGGGACCGAAAGCCAGGGAAGATAGTTAAGCATTTTAGCCTACGCTCAGCTAGAGATGAGTATCAGCAAAGACGTTGTTGTGAAGCGGTGGCTGCTCACCTCCAAATAGGGCTGTATGCGACATTTCCGTACCACAGACTGACCGTCCCCTGAAATGGCACCTTAGTGGATGTCCAATACCTCCAGAACTGAGGTAGAGGGTGGTCATAATTGATCAGCGATATTGTAAAGGAGTATGCACCAAACCTTACGAATGTTTGGGATGTCCAATGACGATAGTACTGAAAAACTGAAAATCTTGATCTTGATACCGAAAGGGAGAAATAAAGACACGTACCAGGCAACAAGGATCCTGGCCCATCCGCGCTGGTGACTGATGATTTTTGATTCTACGATTGGTATGGTTGTGAAGTGGTTAACTGACGATTGTAGGTAACCCTTAGACTACAGTTCACAGCCTTTTTGCATTGATTTCACGGTGTATAGCTTACTACTATCCCGGTATATTCAAGACCTCCAACTTGGACTTCAGTGAACCAGTTGAGCAGCCTTTCTCCATACTGTAACAAGACTAGTTTGGTGGGTGCGGCTTCAGCGAGTTTGCCTCACGAATCAGGAGTAAAAGGGACTTCGCGCAACTAGCGGGCTTAGTTAATGGGGTTCAGTGGTGTCCGGTGGAAGTTTAAAGTCGGAGTCCAAATGCAGTGTAACTGCAGACCATTTCCTGTTGATTTTATTTGCTGATTTTCCCTAGTCCACCCCTATAAGAACAGTTCCAGTCACTCCACATTTCATACTGCGCCATCCGTCCTATCTGCTGTAAAAGAGGCTAGATCTGTATGTGTAGAGGGCCATACTCTACCCAGGTTAACATACTTGAGGTCTTTTAGTGCCGTCGACAAGACTGGTTATTGTACCATCAAAAAGAGAAGCTCAATAACTCGAAATCAGGGATGAGGTTTGACACTTATAATGGCACCGTGACAGCAACCTCTACTGGCCGTTCAGTAAGCAATCTCGCCAACGTTGTTATGGCCAGTTTCCGACAAACCAAAATACTAGGGGAAATAACTTCAAACAAACAATCCGATAGGCTGTTGGGAACCTGTCTATACAGGAAATTTTTGAAATGTTTTACTCGAAATTAGGCGGACCAGATCAGGCGTAATGAAAGTCGTATAAACTTTGTAGTTGGACGCGGTAATAAGGACCTCTCCTCGGACCAATGGTTACCTTCCGCTAAATTTCAGGGGGGTTAGGGTTGAATTCAAGGCGTAGGATAAGAACAGTAGGTGGGCTAACTCATGAACTGTCAACTGAAATTCCGAAATGCGTTTTCGTTTCGAAAAGATTAATTAAGTAGGGTTGTAAAACTAGTCAGCCTGCAACATAATTCTATAATATTTCAGCTACCTCAGGATGCCGGCTTTCGAATGAAGTTCCTTCCGGCTGCATGTAAGAACTGCACTCTGTAAAAAATGGCAACTTAAGTAGCATGAATTTTTCTCAGTGATTTTCATTGCCTTTGAAAGTCCAATCATATTTAATGGAAAATATGCATAAAAATATTCATTCTTTTGCTCATTCGGTAGACAATTACGTCTTTTTTCAATTTCATGCTCGAAGGAAGGGCATAATTCGGTTTACAAAAACATTTCTAATTCCCGAATAATTTTGAACCCGCTCTACCGTTACACTTGAATTCTGGGTTTCCAAACTACAAGCCGTATATTTTCCGCGTACGAAAAACTACACATTTCTCTACGGTACTAAAGGAGGACCATATAGGGTTCACAAAATTTAACAGTGGATTTGCTCCATATTGTTAACTTTACAAGCCACATTGGTTACTACAGGGACATGACCATTTATGAACGGCCATTTCACGGCATTTAAGTCCCACAATTAGAAACTTTTTTAAAACCGAATTATATCCATCCTTCGAGTATTTGAATGGAAGAAGACGTAATTTTCTACCGAATGAGCAAAAGAATGAATATTGTTATGAATGTTTTCCATAAAATATAATTGGACTTTTAGGAGCATCGAAAATCAATGAGAAAAATGCATGCTACTTAAGTAGTCGTTTTTTTGCAGAGTATAGTTTTTGCATGCAGCCGGAAAGAGGTTTTTCGAAAGCTAGCATATTGAGGTAACTGAATTATTATAGAATTGCGCTGCGTGATGTTTACTTTTACAACCCTACTTAATTAATCTTTTGGAAACGAAAACACATTTCGGAATTTCGGTTGACATTTCATGGGTTAGCCTACCTACTGTACCTCTGTAGAATCAAGCGCAAATCTACCTGCAGTACTAGGGGTCCATACCTCCCTGCCCGACCAAACCATGCAAACACTCGCGTCTAAGCTCTGTCCTGGGAGACTGCAGCCTGAATAAGTTCATTCAGCAGCCGCAGCAGCATCAGGGAGGAGAGTGTATACGATCGGTGGCTACGCAAACGCACATGGGCAAACGGATTTCGCCTCACATGCATGGAGAAATGCAAAGAGGACCATCGAGTTTTTTCCAAGCCAGTTATTCACGAGCATAGCTAGGAGGGTTCTGAAAATTGCGATTTTTCTGTTTGTCGTTCAGGCATTTCAGACGAAAACACCGAAAAATTTGCTTGCTTATTGCTTGATTTTATCATTGGCTTAGCTGTTTCAGCATTCGTAAGCCTACTCAGACGACCATAAAGTAACTCACACAAGGAGCACCTTTACCTCCCAGTTCCAAATGCTAGCGCCTGGCCAGATTTAGCTTGAAGTAGTTGAATCCCACGTCCACTGCCGTAGGTAATGCAATTTATAGAATTACTTGCTAATCGGAAACACATACACACACGCAGCCTCACATTAATTATATCGCGTGCATTTTGTAGCGACAGCTTGTCATCTGCTCACAATAATTTTTGTAGCAAACTTTTGGGGCAGAGGATGAAATTGCTTTTTGACTCATCTATCAGTTCGAGCCGCTCTTCAGTCGGAGCAAGATTACAACCTTGGTTTTATTTTATATGACCATTCAACGCCTTCCTAAGTGTGATGCCCGAAGCCGCTGTAATGCTGACAGAGCGCTATTGAAGTCGACAGATAGTGAATTATCCTCCGATATTTCTGCCCTCATGTAGGTGCTATTTTAGATTGTTAAACAGATGGATAATGTTAAGTGTAGGATGATTTCATTAGAAGCACACCGAACCCTAAGCACGGAGGGGATCTCAAGATAGTTGCTCATCTGCCGTTTTCCAAAAAAACCCAGTCCAGCGTAGATTTTCGAAAAAGCCACTGTGCAACCGTGCCAAACTCATCAATAGGGTGAAACATGCCTTTTAGAAAGCAACTTCATGAATATATACCAAAAAGTAAATAGTATTTCGTAACAAGTCAACCACTTCTCAACTTGTATATGATTCTGCAATTGAACAACTGTTGAGAAGATGAAGCGTTCATGTTAACTTTTTGATTATTGGTCAACGACTGTTCCCCCGCCCTCCCGAAAGAACATTTTCTGATATAGCTCATAGGTGCACTTCCAAACCGTGTTGTAAATCTAAAAGCGTACTCTTTTAAGGTAAACCTGTCTGGCACCAAACGCAGATTATCATCTTCACCAAAGCGCCGCTCTAAGTCGCCTCCGGAAGTTGTCGCAGCCGAACCAACCGAAGGTGGTCCACCCAGCAGCAAGTGCCTACGTGTTATCGACCTCCAAAGTTACACTTCTGCTGTCCCGGCCACCGATCCCTTGGCAATAACTATGAACGGCTTGCGTCTTGTTGCCACCCCAGTAAAGCCCCAAGAAGAAGAATCGGAAAAGGCGTCAACAGTGCCTTCCGACAACCATTTCGTCTACGATGTCTACCGGATAGATCCAGGGGCCAGAATTGGACGTTTTAGTTCGGAGGGCTCAGATCTCGAGGACTCAGACCACCGGTATGTCTATGTAGACGTAGAGGACGCTGAATACAAAGATGACGGTGACATTTTTGAGGACGATTCCGACTCCAACAGCGAGTCTAACTGGCGCAACGATTACCCAGACGATGATGACGAGTTTGCCTACCTGGACAAAGACGATGAAGATACCGACAGTGATGACCACGACGACGACTCCAGCGATGAGGATAATGAACTTTCGCGACACCGGCCTTACCAATTAAGGCGTGCAATTTTCTCCAACGATCCTTTTGGATCGTTACTGCTATGACCTTAGCTGCTGCTTCGCCATAATCTTCTGTACAGATTTACTGTTTCATTTCTTAAGAATCTATCATTCTTTGCCTTCTGTTGACCTCTGGATTTGCTTTGAAGACGCTCGCTGATGCCGTGAAAAACCCTTCATTTGATGCACGTAGTCGAGAGTAAAAGGAAGTAGACCGATTTTTATTTACTATGTTTCACCACCAGCTACGACCTGCAGCAAGAGCAAGGTATAAACTCCGGTATACTTTACCAGACGGACCACGAATGATGCATACAATAGCATCATGTTTCCTCCCTTGCTCGGGGGAGGAATTCCCTCTGATCACAGTTTGCAGCCACACGGTTTAATGATTGACAGTGCAGTCGACAGTTGCATAGCACAGCCAGAGAATGACATCAAACTAGTGGTGACTGACACCAAGTCAGTATGGCCCGCATCGTCCGGGTGTCTGCTGCGGACTGGCGGCCCTGAAAGTGGCCTGAGTTCTCTCAAAAATGGCCTGGGTACTAATCACGGTAGGTGTACCTAAGTCCAGTAAGACAGTCCTGTGATTCTTCGTCTCCGACCACACGTTAACTCTGTAGGGACAACGAACTCGGCACGAAGTCCGCTAGTAGTAAATTTCCTGTGGACACTGTGTCCCATTCCCCGGGAAATTGTCTTAAGTAGCGGGACTCCATGGGAATATGCATCTTTAAAAGCGCCGCGGGCCCTGTTTCACGCCGTATTTTCCTCAAAGCAGCCAGTTAGGGGAAGAATCTCTATTGCAAAACCGGAAAGTTTGAAAATCTTTTACGAATCTAGAAATATTCGAGGTGCCGAAGGCCCAGGATGCCGCACTCCGGAGCAAGCCTGTGTGGGCTTGAGATTGAGGTTGCAACTGGGTTATTATCAAATAAAAGGCACGTCAAACGGGTTTGTCGGTGACGGAGACTGGAGCTCAGCTGATGAGTGCGGATTTGCAGCTCAAATCCACTACGTTATAATTTCTGCTCTTGGTGTCCGGCTGCATGTGGGGAGTGTTCAGGGTGTCTAGGTAGGCGATACGCCTTTAAGAGTGACGGATCACTCCACTAGAAGCGAAGAGACGAGTCACAGGAAGCAGTCTTGAAGGAGACACGATCGCTGGGACAAGAGCTTTATTAGCCTGGCGTTTCGGATTCCTGCTCGAACCCATCATCAGAGACAAAAGCAGATACGGGTAGTTCATGCACAAGGGGCTGCGGTATTTACAGGATACAGTAGCCATGCTACCGCATACCTATGAATATTCACGCCCCCCCCATTCATCAGGAATCGTTGCACGTGGTCGAGCAGTCATCACACCAACGCACGTGATGAAATTGCAGCAATTAACGACGCGAATGTCAGCCATCACATCACGTGCAACGACCTCTGATGAAGGGAGAGCCGTGGATATTCATAGGTATGCGGTAGCATGGCTACTGCAACCCCTTATGCATGAACCACCCGTATCTACTTTTGTCACTGATGCTGGGTTCGAGCAGGAATCCGTCTGCGAACTTGTGACCCGCTGAATGCCGCCAAACTGCATTCGGGGGCTTAAAAGCCCAGGTAGGGACACGCCATATCGCACAGAAGGGAGGACCTGACAGCCACAGTAGGCCATTGCAGAAAAGACGGATTGTCGCTAATGAGAACCTGCTGAGAATGCGGCCTATTAGTCACCAACACACTTTCGCTTTCTAAACCACGGGATGTTTTCCCATATTGGGTCAGTAGCAACGACAAGTACATGCTTCGAGCATCGCAAAAACATCTGCTGACCTGGCATTCAAAGGACAGCCAGTCAGATTGACTACATACTAGTCAGCTCAAGGTTCCGCAGCTGGGTTCACGATAGCGGATCGATGCGTGGTGCCGAGATTGGTAGGGCCCATGGGTCGGATCATTTCCTCATTCGTACACGCCTGAAAGTTCATCTCTCATCCGCGCCAAAAATGCCACCTAGACGCCTCGATGCCGCAAAAATCCGACAAACCAGCACTGCTGAGGACCTGAGCAGAGAAATCCGGACCTGTTTTACGACCCGAGCCGAAGAAGAAGACAGTCACCAGTGGTTGTCACCAAAAACGTCAGTCTATGGTGCAGCTGAGAAAATCCTTGGATACAACCAGCGACGCCGCAGTGACTGGATCAGCGGAAGAACCCTGCAGTTGTCTGCTCAGACGGCTCGAGCTAGGTCCCATAACGATGACTGCTTCCGCCAACTTCTGAAGATGACGGCAAAGTCGGCCAGGAATGAGCGGAAGCAATATTGGGCTGAAATAGCAACCACCATGGAACAGGCCTCAAACGTTGGTGACACTCGAAAACTCTACCAACTTATCCGCCAAGTTAGCGGTAAGCCCTCTACACTGAGTGACTCTGTTCACGATATGAACGGCGGCTTTATTGCTGACAACTCGGCCAAAGTCGAGCGCTGGCGTGAGCACTTTGAGCAACATCTCAACTTTGATACCCAAACCACCACGCCCTTGCTCTCCTCTTCAGCAGAGTTTCTCCGCTCTCCGACCTATGCAGTGTCATGCGACACTCCCTCTAAAGGAGAAGTCGTCAATGCCATACGAAAGCTACGCAACAATAAGGCACCCAGAGAAGACGGTATAACCGCTGAAATCTTCAAGTCTTGTCGACACGGGCGACCTGGCTCCATGAAGCGATTGAACAAGCGTGGAGAGACGAGGTTGTTCCTGATGACTGGGGCTTAGGCATCCTTGTATCTATCGTCAAGAAGGGAGATAAGATGCGAGAACTACCGCGGCATAACCCTCATCGACGTTTCTGTGAAGATCTTCGCTATTGTACTACTCAGACGATTCCAGGCTGTGCGTGACTCAAGGACGAGGCCCAACCAGGCCGGATTTCCTGTTGGACGTGGATGCGCAAACCAGATATTCGCCCTGAGGCGTATTCTCGAATTTCGCCATAGCTACCAGCAACCGACGCCTGTCTACTTCATTGACTCTGCCGCCGCGTTCGATTCCCTCCATCGTGAGTCCCTGTGGCGGTTAATGGCGCTAGATGGTGTACCGGCAAAAATAATCGCCATGATCAAGGCCTATTGTCCCTCCAGTACTTCGGGAGTACTGGTCCACAACAATCTTACCCAACCGTTCCGCATTCCGTCTGACGTTTGACAGGGTTGTATCCTGTTGCCCATTCTGTTCAATTACGCTACTGACTGGATTCTCGGAAGGGCCCTGTACGAAGGTGACGGTGTTCGGTTTGCACCCGGACACCGACTGACTGATTTTGACTATGCGCATGATATCGCCTTACTTGCTTCAAGTTTTGTTGATCTGAAGTCTATGGGGTCACGGGTGAACGAGGTCGCTAAATCAGTCGCTTTGTCCATAAACGCTGGGAAGACTAAAGTGATTTCAAACGGAATCCCTGACCAGGAGAGGGCACCCCTCCGGATTAGTGGCTGCCAACTTGAAGAAGTAGACAGTTTTAAATACCTCGGGGCGAGGCTGCTGCCCAATGGACAGAGTAAGGACGACATTGTCTCCCAAAAAAAGGCTTCCCGACAGGTTGTTTCAAGCCTTCAAAAATGTCTATGGATCCGACGCGACCACGCCATCGCCACCAATATTCGTGTGTACCGTGCATCTGGCAGAACTATGCGCGTGGGGGACGAGCGAAAACTGGAGATATTTGACCACCACTGCTTGAGGACTAACCATCGAGTGAAGTATACCGAATTAAAAAAACGAAGTGGCGAGTAGAAGTAGATTTTGAAAAACTGATCAGAAGAAGAATCGATCGCTGGAACGAGGGCTTCATTCGCCTGACCTTTCGGATTTTCACTTGAACCCATCATCAGAGACAGTGGCAGAAAAGGGTGACTCGTGCGCAGGAAGTTGCAGTATTTAGAGGACGCAGTTGCTATGCTACCGCATACCTATAACAATTAACCGCGCTCCCCTTCATCAAGGACTGTTGCCCGCTGGTGCGCTAATTGCTTGATGGCCGGCATGCAAGTTATTAATTGCCGAAATGTCACCACCCGTGTTGGATGCTGGTGTGATGATTGCTCGGCCATCTGGCTCACCGGCTTGAGCGCTCCCCGAGTGGTCAATTACTTTGGCCAGCCTATGCTTCAGCACGGAATATGGAGTGGGGATGTTGTTGCACTTGTTGATAGACTGAGGTCCCGTGAACCATGACTCAAACAACTCGCGGCTCACTCGATTATCCCTTCTCGCGAGAATTCCGGCCTCATCGAACTTGAATGCGTGGCCGGGTCTCGTCAACTGGGCCGCGACCTGAGAGTTGGCGTAATTTCTCCGTACCGCTGCCGCAGGTTCGGCAATTCGCGTTCGGAACAGTCTTCCAGTTTCTCCGACGTAGTTGCTTTGTCCGCAACTGCACCAGATCCGGTAAACGACTCCAGATGTTTCTTGCCGTGGCAGTGGGTCTTTTGATCTCATCACCTGACGCCTCATGGTGGCCTCCGGTCTGTGTGCAACTCCAACCCCAAGTGGTGCAAGAAGGCGACTAACGGCCCCGGAGACGTTTTTGATGTAGGGGATCGCTCGCCAGAATTTGGGGTCGGCACGGTTTTGTCACTCGTCTCGTTTGCGCATGCACCGGTTGACGAAGTTGCGCGGGTAACCATCTGCTCTGAAAATCC